CCTTTACCTACCTCCCCTCTAACCATCAGTTTGTTTTCTATAGTTAAGAGTCTGTTTCCTGGTTTCTCTCATTTTCCCCCCTTTGTTTGTTTTCTTTCTTAAATTCCACATATGAATGAAATCATATGGTGTTTATCTTTCTCTGACTGACTTATTTTGCTTAGCATTATACTGTCTAGCTCCATCCATGTTGTTGCAAATGGCAAGATTTTATTCTTTTTAATGGCTAAATAATATTTCATTGTATATATATACCACATCGTCTTTATCCATTCATCTATCGATGGACACTTGGGCTGCTTTCATAATTTGGCAATTGTAACTAATGCTGCAATAAACATATTAGTGTTGGGGTTAAATACCCAGTAGTGTAATTACTGGATCATAGGGTAGTTCTATTTTTAGCTTTTTGAGGAAACTCCATACTGCTTTCCACAGTGGCTACACCAGTTTGCATTTGCACCAACAGTGCACGAGGTTTCCTTTCTCTCCACATCCTTGCTAACACTTGTTATTTCTTGTGTTTTTGATACTAACCATTCTAACAAGGTGGTATCTCATTGTGGTTTTGATTTGCATTTCCCTGATGATGAGTGATGTCGAGCATCTTTTCATGTGTCTGCTGGCCATCTGGATGTCTTCTTTGGAAAAATGTCTTTTTAGGTCCTATGCCCATTTTTAATCAGATTATTTGTTTTTTTTGGTGTTGAGTTGTATACATTTATTTTGGAATTAACCCTTTATCAGATATGTTATTTGCAAGTATCTGTTCCCTTTCAGTAGGTTACTTTTTTTTGTTGTTGTCGATGGTTTCCTTTACTGTGCAAAAGCTTTCTATTTTGGTATAGTCCCAATAGTTTATTTTTGCTTTTGTTTCTGTTGTTTGTGGAGACATATCTAGGAAAACGTTGCTATGGCCAATGTCAAAGAAATTACTGCCTATGTTTTCTTCTAGGATTTTTTATGGTTTCCGGTCTCATATTTAGGATTTATCCATTTTGAGTTTATTTTTGTGTATTGTGTGAGAAAGTGGTCCAGTCTGAAATAATATCGTGAACTGTTATTTATTTTCATGTATGTATGAACACCTTTACAAATCAAATGAAAATTAGAATCTTGAGGAATAAAAGTGTTTTAGAAGAACAATCTTGTATTACATAATGAATCCTATTAATAATAATTGAGTTTATAACACTCTGCTTCTTTGACATTTATTGAAATTTTACCAGAACACCATTATACAAAATAAAATTTTGGAAATAACTGTTTCTCATATCATTATCCAACTCAAGTACGATATGAAAAACAAAGCCCCAAACATTAGAACTTAAATGACAGCAGAAGACACAGTGGAATGATGCCATAGACCCAGAAGGAAAAGAACTGGACCCAGAAACATGAGATATGAATTCCATCATTTTATGGTCCCCACATCTCTGTACGTATTAGTGTCTGAACTTATCTCACCATGCTTACTTCCATTGCCAATGGAAGAGTTTTCTCTCTTCCCATATCTTACTTTTTCTCTAAGACTGCAACCTAACTTTATTATTTTCTACTTTCTATTTTCCTTCTTCTCCTTAACTCCTTTAAGATCTTTTTTAAGACTCTTCAGCCATGTAACACTTTCAACCTACCTTTCTTTTTTTTTTTTTTTTTAGAGTACATTCAACCTACCTTTCTAAAGCCCTTCTCTACCACTGCCAACTTAAGATAATTAAATTATGTCCAATTTTCTTATGCCAATTCACTCACTGCTGCAAGGCTTCAAACACCCCATCCCTAACACTCCACTATCACCAAACAAAGGTCACTGTGAGCTCCATTATCAAATTTAATGTACATTCTCCTGTCCTTGCTAGAATTCTGGACTTCTCTGCTACATTTGATACCATTAGCTAATTCATTCTCCTTGAAACTCATTTCTTGACTCCTCTATCAAGGTTTTCTCCTTTGTCTCCCTGCCTGCTACTTGTCAGTCTCATTTACTGACTCAACTCCTCTGCCTCCCACAGTCCTTATAATGTTGATACTTCTTGGGGTTCTATCATTCTATTCAACAGTGTCAATGATCCACCAGATTTTCTTTGCAATTTTGATACACATTCTCAACAACCTGCTCCTGCTTCTTTTTGACAGAGGGCTGCCTTAGGATACTGGAGTCCACTTTGCCTGTCTGCGCTAAGACATGGAAACTCACACTGCTCACTCTTTCTGGGTGATTATATTCATTTTCACAATTTCATCTCTACTTATATGCTGATGACTTCTAAATAGTCCTATTAAGCCCTATCCCCTCTCTTGAGCTTAGACTTGTGTACTCTATTATCTAATGGGAAACTTGATGTCCCCCCAGATAGTTTAAACCCGTCATATGTACAAAACTGAATTCATAATCTATTACCAGTTTCCATTTTTTGTATCTTCCCCTTATTATGGAATAGTACAAACATTCTTCTTACAGCAATGACCAGGAACCTGGGACTTATCATCCTTATGTCTCTTTCCCTTACTCTCCACAACTGAGATCAAATCCTATAAAATCTAATTTGTCAATACTTGTCATATCAGTCCCCTCATTTCTGTACCATCTGCTGTTGTCTTGGTCAAGTCCCCATTAGCTGTATCCTAGACTTTTATGATGGAGAGAGAGCATAGCATACTGTGAGATGGCTCAGGCTCTGGAGCTGCAGTTTTTACAGAACTAGAACAAAAAATCCTAAAATTTGTATGGAACCACAAAAGACCCCAAATAGCCAAAACAATCTTGAAAAAGAAAAGCAAAACTGGAAGTATTACAATTCCAGATTGTAAGTTATATTACAAAGTTGTAATAATCAAAACAGTATCTTACTGGCATAAAAATAGACACAGATCAGTGAAACAGGATAGAACATGTAGACACAAACCCATGATTATATGGTCAATTAACCTTTGACAAAAGGGGCAAGAATATGCAGTGAGAAAAAGTCTCATTAACAAATGGTGTTGGGAAAACTAGACAGCTACCTGAAAAAGAATGAAACTGGGCCACTTTCTTACACCATATGCAAAAATAAACTTAAAATGGGTTAGAGACCTAAATGTGACACCTGAAACCATAAAAATCCTAAAACAGAGCACAGGCAGTAATTTCTTTAAAAAAAATTAAAAATAGAAATACATTTTAATTTTGGATCTTTGGTTTTAGGAAGTGTTATAAGCCAATGAATGACACTAGTAGCCTTTGATCATACAGCATCTGCTGGCTAAGTATGGTGTTAGGTACTTTAAATACATTGTCTAATTTTCTTCATAAACTCTGTGTATGTTTTGTTTTCACCATTAGGGAGAAAATTGTTGAATACTGCATTCCGGGAAGGCTTAGGAGGAGATTTTTTTAAAAAGTATTTTCACGGTGCCTGGCTGACTCAGTCAGCAGAGTGTACAATTCTTGATCAAGCCCCACTTTGGGTGTATAGATTGCTTAAGAATAAAATCTTTAAAAAAAAGTATTTTCATTGGCTTAAAAAATTTAAAAAATTGTTTATTAAAAAAACAAACTGAAAATCAAGCATACAGATATATACACATTAGGGATTATCTTTATTTAGTTTATTTAGTTAACTAAATTTCTTTATTTAGTTAACTAAATATTCTTCCAGGCCATTATCAGTTCTCTCTCTCTCTTTCTCTGTATATGTATATACTATATGTATAGTTTTTAGAACTTATTAAAAAGAGTAATAACAATATATATCCAGTTCTGCAATTTGTTCCCACTCAGTATTCACAATGTTTTTTGATAATTTGAAATATAAAATAATTTTACCTATTACTACTCCCTCCAATCATCTACTTCTGATCTCTTTATGCGAAGGCCAATAGTCACAGGATTCAGAAAAACATCTGGACCAAGGAATGATTTCCTAAAAAAATTCTAATAATAAAGCAATCTTTTTTTTGATAATAGTATTTTTTATTGGGAGCAATTGAAGTTTTTGTCACTCCTTTTTGAGTGCTGTTTTAAACATGAGCTTTAGTTATAAGTGACCAGATGTCTTGGCTTGCTGTCTTTAGTCAGCTTCTGCCACTTCCTCTTGTATCATTCTCTATATCTTGAAGTGAGTGGCTGAGAGCACTATTCATTTAGACAAATGGCAGCTCAAATCTCTTTTCAAGGTAAAAAAGAAAGTGAGATTTGTAAATGAAACCCAGGTAGGCAACGTAGTTATTGTAGTAGCAATTATTTCTATAGTTCTTAGAAGTTGGGAAGACTGTCAATGTGAATTTTATAGGATAGTCAGTATGTAACTGGTAATTTGAACTACCCCTGGATGAATATTCCAGCCAACCTATGGCTCTTTTGGTTACTCTCAGGTAATAACATTGCCATAGTAGCTTTCAGTTGCAAACACAATCTCAATTCAGCAATTGGAATGCCTAATGCTAGCAGTTGGAATAAATCAAAATGCTGACAGTTTAAAACATAAAGTAATTTCACCTGTACCATTAAATTCTTATTATGGTGTTACATTTTTCTCCCTTTACTTTCCATGTTGGCTGCTTGCAAGGGGAAAAGGGGATGTACATCTTCACTTTTCACAAAAGTGAAAGGTGTTTATCTTTGTGGATAGTGCCCTTTTGCTTCCCAGACTCACCAACAATGTTTTCTTTTTGAGAGATCTATTTCTTGCTCCCAGAGAGGTAGAATAGTGTAGTCTGGTTAAGAATGTGGAATTTTGTGTCAGATTTGGGATTAAGCTTCTTACCTGGGGAAGTTTCTCTTCTCTAAACTTCAGTTCCTGATATGTTAAGTAAAAAACACCTCACAGAATTATTGTGAAGATTAAATGAGTTCATGGGTGAGAACAGCCAAATACAATGTCTGGCAGATATTATTTACTCAATAAATGTTTGATATATGGTCACTCTTTGGGTTCCAAGCCCAAATCCCTTCCTGATTGTGGTAGATATTTCTAGTGCTCTTCCATATCTGTTTTTTTTTTTTTTTTCCGTAGCATCATTAGTCTGGGAAGATGATTCCACTCAGTCCTAAATTGGAGCAGGTGGCTATAAGAGGACCCTGTCAGAGCCTACTCATATCCCACAGACACCTTTCATTTCTGTGTGCTCCAGCCCAACTTCTAACCAAACACCAGCCCCACAACTCTTCCTGAGGGCTGCTTCTGGCAGCTGCAGCCTGCTCTGATGTGCATGGGACAGGCCAGTTGTAGAAGAATTATGTCATCAAACAATGAATACCACAGATCTTTTACTCCTCAGGTAGGATATTTGTGAGGCACATACTCCACATTGTTTCTCAAAGTTTTCTGGTGTGATTGCATTCTAATTAGTCATAGTGGTAAATTGCTTGATAATATACCCTATGTTGGCTTCCTTCCTTTTCCTGTATTTGTAAATGGGTTCATTAGCATGCAGGGTGTTTATTAAGAGTTCTTTTGGGATCAATACCTATGGAAGGGAGGGGAAAGAAGTAGAGTAGCAGAGGGAGAAGTTGGACTATAATGCAGTCCAAACAGAGGCCTCAGTTGACCTCTTGGGGAGCTCCAGAGCTGGAATGCCCTTCAGAGTCATCCCGAGTTGGGGGGAGAAGTTTGGGCATTTTTAACCCCACAGTGATTAGTCACTGGGTGTGAGTTGTGCCTGGAAGGAACCTAACTTGGGAGAGGCAATTTTCTTTAGCCAAGGCAATCTCCAAAGAGGGTTGATAGCTGAGGCTCTTTTGGTAACACCTGCAGCCTTCCTTCCTGAGGGAATCTGGATGCATCACAGTGCCAACCATACCCAGGCTTCCCACTTCTCCATCAGTGTTTTCTGAGCTAATCTCCCAATAAACAACCTGATCTTGAATCCTTGTCTCAGGGTTTGCTTCTGGGGGAACTGAAAACAAGACAGGGCTTTCACAGTGGAGAAAGCTCTACTGGGAGAGCTCACAATGTGTCCACTGATGCTGCCAGGTATAGGAAAACAGGGATGTGACTCCTGTCCAGGGAATCTGAAAGAATATACTGCTTTGCTGATGGGGGCAACAGAAATGTTACTACCTAGAGATTAACCTGTACCCCATTGTTTACTGGGGCAAAGAAAAGTGAGTGTGTTTTCCATGGAGCAGAGATAGGCCTTGGGTGAGAAAGAGCCTGTGTGGGCTTGGGTAGGTCCTGACCAGCTGGCAAAGGGACCCCTATAGCAAGAAGCTAGGGATGGACACCAGATTCCTGGGGGCTATGGAGAGAGCACGTGTGCCTACTCAATGTAATAAAACCAAGAAAATTAAAAAAAAAGTCTCGAATCCAATTCCTCCTGCCTACATTAATTATAGAAAACCTAATTTATCTGCACTATAAGTAACAGTGTCCAGGGGTTTATCTGGACTGCTGATCTTTTCACATTCATCACTCTAGCTATTTGCATTCTGGCAGCCAATCCAGACTCTTCTTGTGGAGGATTAACTATTCCATTTCAGGGCTATGCTTTCTAATTTTACATTCCCTTTTGATTGAACACACCACAGAGGATAATAGAATAATCAAAGTTACACTACCTCTTGTCATGATTGTATTATTTTCCTTAATGACCATATTAATGATTTATATTTTCTAAGGAGATATCACCAAACAACGAATTTCATAACAATCCAGTAATTCTAATTGTATGTATTAGAATTGAATGATGTTCAATCAAACATTTGGCATCTTATTTTTCACCTGGGTTGGTCAGGCCGGGTTAAGTGGAGTATTTAAGTGTTCAATCCTTGTGCATAATATGTGTTCACTCTAGTTGGTACTCCCCTTGGCCAACAGTTCAAATGTGTCATTCTGGAACATCATATAAAAACCAAATTCAGCAATGCTACAGATGAAAAAATTTTTTTTTCAAGTAAAACTTTATTCTCCATCTCCCAAACTTTGGTATTAATGTTATGTGGTTTCCTGAGATTTTGATTTCCATGTAAAATTATATTAATCCCCAGATATATCATAAATGTTTAAAGATTTTAAAGAATCAACTTAATCCCAGTTTGCCATTATATATATTTTTAAAGATTTTATTTATTCATTTGTTAGGGAGAGAGAGAGAGTGCAGAGGGAGTGGCAGGCAGAGGGAGAAGCAGGCTCCCCGCTGAGTAGGGAGCCCGGATGCGAGACTGGATCCCAGGACCCTGATTTCATGACCTGAGCCGAAGGCAGACGCTTAACTGACTGAGCCCCACAGGCGTCCCTGCCATTATATGTATATATATATATATATATATTTTTTTTTTTTTAAAGATTTTATTTATTTATTTGACAGAGCGAGAGAGCACAAGCAGGGGGAACAGTAGAGGGAGAGGGAGAAGCAGGCTCCCTGCCAAACAGGGAGCCCGATGCAGGACTCGATCCCAGGACCCTGGGATCATGACCTGAGCTGAAGGCAGACGCTTAACCATCTGAGCCACCCAGGCACCTCGCTGCCATTATATTTTTAATGAAAGAATACAATTTTGGTCAGTAGTTAAGGAAATGAATCCAAACTCCAATTATACCCATATCGTCAACATAAAAAAAAAATCTAAACAAAAAAGCTGGAACAGTGCTTTTCAAACTTGACTATACACACAAATTGCCCTCTATAGAGGCCTTGTTACGATGAGGGTTTTGATTTGATAGATCTGGGGTAGGGTCTGAGATTCTGCATTTCTCACAAGATCCCAGGTGTTGCTGCTGATGCTGCTGTTTGTGACTGTATTATGAGTAGCAAGGACCCAGAAGACTTTTTTAAGCCCTTGTGAATTTAAGCACAACATTCATTTTAACATTTCTTCATAAGCCAATTTGCATAAAGCTAGGCTAGTTACCCAGCTGCTCCAGGGTTAGGGACTAACTCTCTCATTAAACACTAAGATGCCATTGATTGTTAGATGAGTCATTATTTTAAGTGCTGCTAAGGGAAAATGCTGATAATTAACTATAATGCACCCTGATTTCAGAAATGTTCAAATATAAGTTTTAAAATTGAAGAAATATGGTGGTGTCTCTGACTTCTTTCCAGCTTCCACAATGAGTGTTTATTCTCTAGGTACTTTTTCTACGAGGTAAGTACAATGATTTTCTAATTTTATAGACGCTTGGAGTGAAATTACTTTAAATAGCACAGCTAGAATTTGAACCCAGATCTCTATGACTGGGGAGCCCATGCTCTCAACTTCCACTGCATAGGAAGAGCTATTGTCCCTGAGGAAGATGCTTCCCTGCGCTGTCTTCCATGGCATTCACTTAAGGTAACTGCACCTATAATACTATCTGTGACTGCTGTATTTCCTATTTAAACACATCTTTTTCAGCCTGCTTCTTGTATTCATCACTCTACTGAAGTGGTTTGTTTTGAACTCAGTAGTGACCTCTTTACAGCCAAATCTAGCAGTCCATTCTTTCAGTTTGAATTTTCCTCAGCCTAATCTCTATCTAACATAACCTATCATTCTCTCGAAACTCCTCTTCTGTGTTTTTGAGTAGTTTGCTATTTATGTTGGATGCTTCTCTGGTTATGAGCAAATCATATTTTGTCATATTTTGGCTAATGTATTTATCATCAGCTCTTTCCTTTGCAACCTGTATCAGAAATGTACAGACCTGTACCTGTGAAACAAATAATACATTATATGTAAAAAAAAAAGAAGAAGATAGTAGGAAGGGTAAAATGAAGGGGGGGTAATCGGAGGGGGAGATGAACCATGAGAGACTATGGACTCTGAGAAACAAACTAAGGGTTCTAGAGGGGAGGGGGGTGGGGGGATGGGTTAGCCTGGTGATGGGTATTAAAGAGGGCACATACTGCATGGAGCACTGGGTGTTATATGCAAACAGTGAATCATGGAACACTACATCAAAAACTAATGATGTATTGTATGGTGATTAACACAACATAATAAAATTTAAAAAAAAGTAGAAGAGACTTCACAGGATAGCTGTGAGGATGATATCACTTAAAAAAATTATACCTGCAAAAAAAAACCCCCAAAAATACTACAATCAGTTTAGTAGTCCAGCAAAAATAAATAAAACAATAAAAAGAAAAAAAAAAGAAATATATGAGAAGAATCCAGGTGGTCTCCAAATCCTCACTGAATGAAAATGATGAATTTGGGGATACATAACAAACTATGACTTTGAAATCATGGATCTTGTTAGAACCCTCTCTTCTTAGCTCCTACTTTGTACATATTTTTATTAGTGTTTACAGTGTTATATTCTAATTATGTTCACTTGTCTTTGTATCCGACTTGACTGAAATCCTTGTGGGTAGAGACTGTGTTTTATTTGTTTCTGTTCCTCCAACCCGCGTCCAATTCCTGGCACATAAATGACTCAACACTGCTGAGGCAGGACCACAATTCAGTATTTTAGTAGCAAAAGAAACCATTTCCTGATATCTTGTGTTGCAAGGGAATGTCTCTTACAAGGTCTCTAGCCCCAGGAACAGACCAGTCAGAATGGAGCAGGGGGCTTTGGGGATGTCCTTTCTCTTTTTCACAGGGAGACCTCATAGGTCCCAGATTTAAATTACTCTTGGATTATTTGCTAGTTTTTGGTAGCAAATATGGAGGTTCTGGTTTTTTCACATATGAGGATAAAATGAACCTTTGTGTGGAGGACAAAGTCTCCTATTGGAACCCCGCCCCACCAACAAGGTCATTTTAAATGACCCTATAATGTCATTTAAAAAGCTGTTGGATCAAGGACTGTAGGGTTAAAGGTTCTGTCGAGAAATGGTTCTCAAGAAGTTTGAAAGAGTTGCTTTCTGGAAGAGCTCAACTTGTCCTTCTCAAGGAGCTTTGTTTTCTCATAACATATGACTCCCTTAGCCCATTCCCAGCTCGGACTAAGAGGATGTAAATCTGGAGAAAATTAGGTTCCTGCCATTATGGCCTAGCATGATGGTCTCTCATCACTCCCCTGCTTGCTGGATCACTTTGGTTAGATTTGGTTCAGTTCATTGTCTGTTTCTGAAGCCAGTCATGTAAATCCACAATTAATGGTAATTCAGTCATGTAACAAAGCTGTTTTTTAAAAAAATAAAATTGAATATTTTTTTGAAAGAGGGCAATGACATAATCATTGCCCCTGCCATAAATAATTGTACTGCTTGATTTTAGAGTCCATTATACCTATTTCTCCTTCTGTTTGTCAAATGATTTGTGTTCGATCCAAACAGCACTTTTCTTAAGCCACTAATTTATCTTCGGAGCTGTAGCTGCAGAATGTTTAAAAACAACCTAGGTAGCC